TATCAGTTTGTCAGAAAGAGTTAGGCTATGTAAAGGGTTAAGTCTGCCAGGAAGTGCAGAAAACTGCGTGACAGTATTAGTTGGAGGAGCATGTTAACGTCACTATGCTGAAGTGAAACTTAACTTGAGAGACTGAGTGTGTATTGTACATGTAAGTAATCTCTCAAACGCTTCAGAAATATTTTTTGAACAACTACATGCAATCTCCATGCCTTGTTTGATACAATACTACAAACAGAAAGAACAGAGAAAGCAGCCACAGTTATACAGGTGAGTAGATATATTGACCTAGCCCTTGATCATGACTCTCAGTTCCATTACATTACACATAAGAGTCATTGGATGAAGGCATCTTCTGTAGGGGGGTGTTTTGTTGAGAGCCGCAAACTTCGTTCTGAACATTAACACGCATCGCTTGCGGTACGGTTTTGGAAGATAAATAATAATAATTATAAAAAAGGTTAAATTAATACACACCTTGATAGGGTTAGGGTTCCTACACGGCCATATTTCCATGTTACAGCACTTGTTTACAGAAAACAGACGGAAGATAGAGTGGGCTCCCTGTGCTAATTAGCTATCTGCATCGTCAAACACCGGCGTGTAAACGGAATACAGACACCACAAACGTATTGTCACTGAAAAATACTGTCGGCTGCAACTGTGTTAAAACCGGTTAAAAACGTGTACAGTGAAAGCCAATTTATGCTTGATCCGAAAATGTGGTCAGAGGCTTCGCATGGAGGGTGTGATGCAATTGCAGAGCCTCCGGAGGCATGCAGAGGCCAAATCAAGTTCTGCACTGGTGAGCCTCTCAAATTTTGTAACAATGTGTAGGGCTCTAAATAGCTCCGCATTGACATGATTGGTTGACGCCGCTAAGCGCAAGAAGTATGAAAGCCCTGATGTCTGCGGAGGTTACAATGTAGTAAATGCTGTATGGCCACTTCAGATGCGCATTAAATGCTGTATGGCCACTTCAGACCTCGGACTGACCATGTAGAGCCTTTACGTGTGTATTTTAATGTGATATGAAATTATTTTGATGTGAAATGAAAGTAGAGGGATTTATGTTTCAAGAACCGTACCGCAATTGAGAATCGATTGACATTTAGATGGAGTATTTGGCTTCCAGAGCCAATTCACCCTTTAAACAGAACATGTAAGGTCCTTGGACTAAGAGCCAATTTATGCTTGATCAGAAATGTAGTTGGAGGCGCCGTATGGATGGTGTGAC